CATCACACGTATTTATCCTAAGCTGAGATACCCATTTTCTCTATTACTGTATGCCTGTCATCACAAATACCAGCATTAACAGCTGGACAATTATTATACAAAATAACCCGCAAGGACAATATGCTGTCATACAAAGCAAGCTAAGGATTATCTTTGCTATTCTCTTTCCGATTTATAAAAGGATTTTAAACAATATAGAGGCATGAACACAAATTAGGGCAAATCCTGTTTACTTTTCATTGATACTTTCCATCCAACTATGGAATAAAATCCATTTAACTAGGTGTCATGATGACCTCACAGTTTCAACAAATTGATATATAATTATTTCTTATATAACCTTATAGAGAAAACGGGGTGCATTTTATTTTCTCATATATACATGTCCTTCTATAATGCTTTACTTTATACTGCCAAACAGTAGGCTCAAACTGAAATTGTATATCCTGTAAAGTTCTGCTGACCTTCGAGGTTTATTAGTCTCCGACACTTTCACTGCCAGAGTAGGTCTTTTTTTCATTTTTTGCACACATGTTAAAATGCTTGATTTAGGCCTGATGACTACTTAAAACAACAAAACATTCTATATCTTCTGAAAGCAGAGAATCTGAAGAATGAAATGGTGGTAGTTGCATTTTATTATGCCACATGATATCAGCACAACGGTTTATTAAACCCATATTTCTTGTGAAAAATATGCTAATTTTTTGGGTCAAATATAAATGATGATAAGGTTGTGTCGAGTAAACATATATACACAAGCCAACCAAGTTGGGATTTAAAGGGCGCTCCTGACAAAATATTTATAAAAAAACCCACTGTTTATTAATACATTTCATAAAATCAATGACAACGAAAAATATATTTCACATCCGTTGTATCCTATCCATCGGCAGAAAACCTCTCACAGCCACAACAGTAATACAGAATATTGCATATATTGCCTATTTCACAGCACATATATGTTTACAAAGACCACATCTCATATGATTATTAGCTTTCATTGGCATGCAGTACAAACCCATATTTTTAGTGGGGAAAAAATGCTAAATTTGTCAAGTAAATAGATACCAAACATAGTTACATAGTATTTGAGCATGAAGAAAGACACAGGTCCATCGAGTTCAACCTTTGTGAGCATGTATGTGAGCGTCTGTGTGTTCCAGTCAATAAGGCTGGGTTCACACCCAGGCGTATTGAATTTGCACGTTTGTCACGCGTTTCGTGTCGCGTATTTGTCACGTATTTGTCGCGTATTTGTCGCGTATTTGTCGCGCGATTCGCGGTAAAAAAACGCGCGACAAACTCACGTTTCCGAGGGCTACCTGACTGTATCCCAATGGATACGTGCGACAAAAACGCCCCAAAGAAGCTCCTGTACTTCTTTGGGCGTAGGGCGTTTTGTAGCGCGTTCATACGGCCTGTAATACGCCCAGGTGTGAAACATACCAATAGGAAATAATGGGATTTCGGTGTTTGAGCAATTTGCAGAGCATAGGAACGCGCTACAAAACGCCCAGGTGTGAACCCAGCCTAAGAGTACCTGTACCCCTGTATGTTATGTTCTCTGAAGAAAGCATCTAAACAATTTTTAAATGATTTAATACTCTCTGCTGATACCACTGCTTGTGAAAAAGAGTTCCACAATTTTACCGCTCTAAACACAAAGGGCGTAGGGGATTTATTTCCTTTAAACCTTTTTAGTCCAATTTCAGGTGGTTGTCTCTTGTCTTCTTTAGGGAGTTTACAGTAAAAAGTTTATTACTGATATTGCCATCACCATTATTGCAACCACCGCTTCCAGGACGGCTGTTGTAATTAAATTGCCAGGCTAGGAGCTTCTTGAATGTAAGTAAGCGTTTTTAAAGTCCTCACCAATCCCGCTCGCACGAGTGGGAAAGCAGCGATGGCTGTTTATATACAAGCATTCCGGCGTCTGTAGAGACGACCAATCGCTTGTATTATGCATGCGGGTGTACATCCCCATCCCGATGCAGGCCCAGTACGGCGGCTCTGTCAATGGAACTCAGAGGGAGATCATCACACGATCTCCCTCTGATCTCTTCTCCATTCTCTGAATGCAGGAAGTGGTGTATATGTTATCACTTTCACATTTAGCTGTCATTCTCCGGCTTCTGTAGCTGGAGAGAAGCTAGTGAAGCAGATTTCTGCTTCATCAGCTTCTTTGGAGGTCCCTAGGTGGTATTAGGGGTCCTGGAGACCCCTGATGTCTCCATAAAGAGATACATTCTGAGTAAATTGGCTATCACATAGCCAATGCTTCTTAGCCCCCTATGTGATAGCAATAGAGTTAAAGGGGGGGGGGGGGAAATTAGTCACATAAAAACAAATGAAAATGAACGAGAGTCACCCGCCACCACATACACACGGGCGTCGGGTGCACCTACATGCAAAAATGACGATTGCGCTGCACATGTTACACATTACCGCCAACGTCGGAGTGAGAGCAATAATTCTAGGGCCATCAATCACCGATAACACTAAACTGATGAGCGGTAAAAAGCTTTTAAAGTGTCACCTATGGCCAAATTTGGGTATGGTAGTTTTTTGCGATATTGGCGGGCGCACACAATTTTAAAGCTTAACATGTTTGGTGTCCATTTACCTGACGTGACCCCATCTTTTAGATTTTATAAAAAAATGTGGGCAAGAATACATTTTTTAACAATATATTTTTTCCGAAATTTTCGGTACTTTATTCATTATATAGTAAAAAATGAAAACCCTAGTAGTGATTAAATACCACCAAACGAAAGCTCTGTGTGTCCCCAAAAAATTGTATAAAATTAATTTCAGTACAGCCTTGCATAACTGAATAAATGTTAGCCAAAGTACTGCAGCACTGAATACAGAAAAATAGCCTGGCCAGGAAGGGGGTGTAAACACCTGGTCTTCAAGTGGTTAAACAATTTCTACATCAAAATCATGTCCTCTCTTAATTGTCTAATTTCTACAACGAACACGTTTACATTTTGCAATCTTGTCTCATAGCTTAGGTCCTCCGGCCTCTAACAGTTTCCTTGCCATTCTGTGGACTCTTTCCAGTTGAACGACATCCTGTCTGTGGATTGGTGTGCCCGTAAAATGGAGACCAACTACAGTATCCGAAAATGTCCATAAGCAACACTTTTTTAGTTGGTAGTGAATGATGGCCCTAGAAATATTGCTCTCACTCCAGCTTGGCAATACCGAACATGTGATGCAATAGTTATTTTCTTATGCAGGCCCAACCGAAATGAGCATTTACATTCTACCAGTGCCACTAATCACTCTTGCCGTATATAAAGTTGGCTGTAACAATCCAGTGATGTGTCATATCCAGCTGTAGCACCATCATCCCTTTAGTGCTCTCCTTACTGACATCCACCATGGATGTCCTGGGCACCCAGAAAGGGCATCAGCGCACAGATTTCGTGACATGGGGGGGGACGTCAATGTTCATATGTACATTGTGGTTCTTGTAAAAGCAAAGATAGATATCAGCTCTCCATGATCCAGGGAATTCCTAAATCTCAGCCAAGAGACCCATACTTTCCCGTGACCCAAAGCTCAGTATATAGCTCGCTATATACTGAGAGCACCGCAGCCAAGATGGATCCCAACAATAGTGTCAAGATCCACCCAGCTGGCTGATTGACAGTGGGCTCTGCCTATCTAGAGGCAGAGCCAGCTGTGCCTGCCCCCTCCCGTCTGTTCCTCCAGTCAGCGCTGGAGGATCAGAGAGGGAAGGGACGAGGAATCCTTGCGGGGAGCGGTGACTGATGGTCACCACTCTCTGCAGGAAGATGATCAGAACGTGAGCGAGCGACGGTATGTGTTCGCTCACTTCCCGATCAATAGAGCCGACGTGTGACAATTTCATTGTTGGCTCCAACTATGAGGATGAGTGAAAATCACTCACCTCATAGTTTTCCTTTAACATATTCATAGAGAAAAGAGCCACTTTAGGGTCTGCTCGAATTATAGCACCTGTCACTCTGGTGTAGACTACACATACCCCCTGCCAAAATTTCTGAATGAAAAGGCAACTCTACCAAATATGTGTCATATTCCCAGATGCATCATGGCACCGCCAACATTCCGATTTGTAACGTAGTATTAACTACACAGTGCATTCGTTCATGGCAATTAGACGGACTAAATTAGACAAAGTAAATTATTTGTCCCCCTCACTTAATTTTGTTTTATTTGTTTCTTAATGTGTATATTTTGATATTTTGAATTGATGGCAGTATGTAGGTATATCTACCTGCCAATGATATGTAATTTTAATGCTTGTACATTTGAAATGTAATAAACTTAGATTGAAACGTGTACATTGTGAATTCTCATATCCAGCCATAAGATGGAGTTCTTTGATCCTTTTCACCTTTTTGAATTTCTACATACTTTCTGATGTAAAAATAAAGTTCAAGCTAAAATGTACACACACAATTGAATGAGCTTGAGAAGTGACTCATCCCTCTCTGCAGGGCCCTGTCTAAAGTTTCAATCACAAGGTGTCTGAAAGGAAACAACGTCTGCTGTGTTCTCTCTTTAGATAACCCAAGTATTAAATGTGTATTTGTAAAGAAGAAATGGTGTATAAAAAGTGAAAAAAGATCTCAAACAACAGTTTAAAAATATAGATAAAAAACTGACCCCAAACCCTTTTTTTTTCCCCTTAAGGTACAAAACTTGTTGACCTGTATGTCAGCTGTATTCCAGTGCTGTAGCATTTAACAAAATACTTTGACATTTTCTTTATTACTGTACTTACATTGACTTTTAACTTGTGATTTACAAAAAAAAAACAATCCCACTATCAATAGTAGTTCTGCTAGCTTAAATTGTGTTAAATTTGCACATACTGAATATTATAGGAATCGTATTCTATATTTACCAGACATCATTCTCATGGTATAGATGCCACATAATATTTAATCTAACAATTTTCTTAGTCAACAATAAAGCAACTTAGACAACTGGTAAGTCTTTGTCTACAATGAAAACAACAGATGAGTAAATAGTTTGTTGAAAAAGGCAAAATAACCTACCCCCATTACTTTCCCACGCTGCTCAGCATCTTCCCACATGGAGTAGACAATGAATCTGCACATGTACTTTCCCTCTCGCCCTTCCCGTTTCATTCGAACCATACACATCCTAGAAAAAAACATCACTGTCATTTCAGTGCACTTCATTACATTGTTATTTTACCAATTCATGACACACACATATTTAGAAAGGCTGATTTTAGAGTTTTACCATTAGACAAAAGAATACAGTTCACCTTTTGGCTCTATGTCTATATACTCCACCTTATAGTGTAGGTGCTACAGATCTCAAATTAGTTTATTTTGGATTAGTGTTATAACCCCAGTTAAAACCCCCATGACTTTAGCGCTCACTCTTCGCTTCCTCTCCATTCTATTTACTCACAGAATACACAGGGTACTGTGAAAGGCCAAGGGGAGAGAGCAGCAGAAAAATGAAACTAGCGCTGCAGTCTTTGAAACCTGCATCCCTGTACAGTGGGAACTGCACTAACCAGCAGAAAGAAAAGTATTGATTTTAACGTACTGTTATGTGGTTTGGCAATGTATTGCAAATGAGGACAGGTAAAATTTGTTACACATCAAAACTTAACAAAATCTCTGTGCCTGGAGTTCTGCTTTAATGTGCACCTGTGCCCCAACTATGGGCATTAACAAATGTTTATTTAGTCTTAAAAAGCAGTAAACGAGCTTTAAAACAAGCCATCAATTACTTTTCCAGCTGCTTGTACTGTAAATTAATTAATTCTCAGGGACTACAAAAAAAGACTTTAAAGTCAGTTTTCAGACAACAGGTGAGCCTGATGTGTGTTTATATTAGAAGTCTGCCAGGCTGCCAAGTTTCTAGCACAATGTGAAGTAATAGGAAAAGAGCTAAGATTTCAATTATCTGTTGTGAACATTAAAGATTCATGTCTACACAATGACTATAGCTACAGATGTATGAGGGCTTGTTTTTACTGCTTGTTTCGAATATGTAAATATTTTAGTGTGCATAATCTGGGCACAGGTTCACTTTTAGGTTAACATACCTTTCAACTGATCTACCACCAGTATGCCACAAAATACTTTTTTTCTGAAATGAGAGAGAGCAGAGGTTGACTATTTTGAATAGTCAACTGTGAGAGGAGGAGCAGAGCGGCAGACGGGAGCGAGCACGCACGCGCACGACAGCGAGAGTGAGGGACGCCGAGAGAGGCAGGGGGCCGTGAGGGGCGGCGGGA